CCAGAAATGGAATTACAAGCATTAATTTGCATCTTATTTATTTAACTGTGTTTCAACAGTTTAATTAAACAATGTATTCAAGTGAGTTCTGTTGGGTTGCCCTCAATATGTACTACCCTGGACCAGCGTAATTAGGATGTAAAATTCAAAAATTACATTTTTCTGTGGTAGACATCTCAGGGGGTCTCCACCAACTTGGTGGGCTTTAGTTTCATATAATTACTGGTAGAGAAGTTTGTGTTCCCCCTTTCAGAGTATTCACAGTGCTTCAGAATAACTCAGGCCTTTCTTTTCCCTGCTAGGCAGTCCTTCACTTATTTGGGACCTATGAGCTTTCTTATGTACTACCTCTGGGAGTGGAACCAAGAAGTTGTGTCTCCTATCTCCACTAAGATCTGTGTAACTCTATCCAGCTTCTTCCCCACAAGATCCTTCATTTGCGTGGGTGGTCCCAGCCTTCCACGAGCTTCCTTGAACTGCTGTTTGCTCCTCTAACATGTCAATCATGCCATCATCCCTCTGCCTTTTCTCTGCTTCAGCATCTTCTCCATTTGCATCCTTAAGTACCAGCGTAAGCAAGCCTTTGGGATCCTGCAGGTCCTTCTTTTCAGACTCCTTATGGAGAGCCCAATGTTGCGGAGTAGTTGCAGCACACTCTTATCTTTCTCAGTTGTTGTGTCTGGGTTCCTCCTGTGGGAAATATTCCCAAAAAGGAAGAAAAATTTTGCTTGGCAAAAAAAAAAATCAGACGTAGTTCAAGCTTCAGCCTTGAAAATTTGACCCTTTGTTTTAAGCCATTTGTTTTTAGATACTCAGTTGTATCTTACCTTTAATAATGGGCTTACCACTCTGCTTGTGATTTGAGCGTCAAAGCAGGACACTAGCAGTAAAAGGGAAAATGGAGATAAAAAGATGTACTGCTTCCAAGTACAGAGACAGAGCTAACTACTAGCTTGCCAAACTGATAAAGTAGCAACAAAGGTCTGCATGGCAGATCATAGTGTCACCCTGCTAAAGTGTAAGTAAAACATTTTATGTTACCATCAGAAAGGATGCTTTAACTGATATCTTAATAATTGCATGGAAGAGTTAATCCTGTTTTGTCGGAAGCAGTTTTATGTGCGATTTCTGGAAGAACAGCAATGGAGTCAACTCCCTGTGCTAAAATAGTAACTGTTTAATTCAGTGTGATTGTTTAATTCAAAAACAGAAACAACAAAAGCTGATTGTTACCTTAAATTTGATAATAATTAATTGTGGGACAGCAAATCGTTACTAAGCTCAACTGCAATTTCAGAGTTTCTCCCAACCCTGTCTCCTTGCTTTGTCCTTCTCAGTCAATCCCCTTATTTTATAAAAAGCCCAACTGCATCCTAAATCCATTTTAAACTCTTGCCTTTTATTGCCTCGGTAGTTTACAATATAGCTCTTCGTCCCCCAAATTAAATTTCCTATGGACCAGATCCTCAGCCAGCCTAAGCTGGCGTAGCTCTATCAACAACCACCACTCTGCTGATCCAGATGATCAAGCCCCCTCCTATTAATCATTGGTCGTTTCCCCCATCCCCCAGGCAGATTGCTTGCACAGTGTTGGCAGGGTTCCTGTATCATCTGTTCATTCACTAATAACACTATTCAGCATTTATTGGGCCAGTCTGGCTCTCTGCACATTCAGCAGCAAAGCTGCTATTGATTGCATGATGGGGAAGCAGAATCAAGCTGTATAAAGTCATTACTTTGTATTCTGAGAGCTCTGTACAAACTACAATGCAGTTAATTCACTAATGGTTTATATTCGTCTTGCTTGTGTCATAGTGAAGAGAAAATGTTTCAAAACTGCCGGGGGCGGGGGGGAGTGGTTCGCATGATCGTTGTTCGGAGGATTTGAGAGTCACGTCACAAAAGGCAAGTTGTGGGCTATGCTCCAGCAATGACACATCTTAGTAACTGTAAGGCACATATTGCCTCCCTGTTAAGGGAGGCAAGATTATACAGTCTGTATTGCGTGATTACATATATCAAATAAGATTGCCAGATAAAAACAGCATGAAGGACAAAATACTTTCAGCAGAAAGAGTGAATATGTTCTCACTTACATGAGGTTACACCATCTACACTCTTGCTTTCCATGAAAAAGGTCCATTACATTTTTAATGAAATGCTGCTCTAAAAGGGTAATCAAATTATTAAGATAAACCATATATTCTTTAAAGAACAGAATTGAATGATTGATATATTTGGCTCTAAATCAACTTTAAGACTTAAAATTTTGAAGACTATTATTGGGAACTATAATGCTTTCTAAAGTCTCTCCTAGTATTTTGTCAATGACAGGAGGCATTAAAATAACACAGAGTAGCTTTAAAAAATGAAAGGGTGCTTGGCATTTTGCAGTCTATGTTTTGTTTCAGTTTTTAAATGGTCGTGCCTTTTACCTAGCAAGAAAAATACATTCTTTACAGGATTTAAAACATATTGAACATTAAAAAGACTTAATTCAAATATTTTCTTTATGTCACTTTTTGCAAATTTGGAAAGGTTCTGAAAAATTCGTGAAGCTCATCCATGCAATTTTTAAGGAGTGTATTACCTTAAATTAATTAATTATCTGTAGTTATTTTGAGGACATGATTTTAAAAGTGTTTTAAAGAGTTTAATGTTGTAGCATTGCAGTTTAAAATACAGTATGTAACACTACAGTGTAACAAAATGCATAATTACAGGTGTAACTGACAGCAAAAGAATGATATATGTAAATACAAATACCAGCAAATATGCCAATCTCATTATCACTGGTATGTAAATACCCACCATGGAGGCACAACAACCTGAGCTTAATTTGTTAATACTGCCTGAAAGAAAAAAGCATTAAAAAGTCAAGGAAGTGGTGTGTGGTGCCCCAGCCAAATTACTTCTCTCTGAAATAAGGATGATAAAAATGTTCATTTTCCTTGACTCACATTTTGGAGCACAACTTAGTTCTGTTTCCACTGCAAGAACAGTCTTACAGATTTAACATCCATACTTACCATATAGGCTCCTAATCCTGTGCATTAAGTGCAGGGCTAGCTTAATGCACAGAGTAGCCCTAGTTACTTCAGTATGTGTTTTCTGCGTGTGGAACATCAATGAAACAGAGCCCTTGTTTTCATGGTCATTATTTTTGAGTAACCATTGCTTTCTGTTTTGACAAAATTACTTTTTACTATAGCTGCAGTTCCCTGAATACCAATATTTTTATCCAAATGTATTTGTAGTCTTGATGTGTCTTCCTAAAACAAGTAAATTGAATTTAAATGCAATACCATTCCAGCTAAGAATCTTTGGAGAATTTCTGGCAAGGGGGCCAGGGGACCTGTGACCTCTGCATTGGCCAGGGACTTTCTCCCAGGCAATCCATGGCTCCACCAAGCTTCCCCTCAAAAGCCTGCTGTCATCCTCTTCTCCCCTGTGAAAACCCTACCCTTTTTCAGCATCTCATCCCACCCTGCGGTGCTCCGTGCCATGCTGTCCCAGCTGCTATCTAAGTCTCATTTCATTCTGTCCTGTGCCCGCTTTGTCCTCTGTTGCGCACCTTCCCCTCCTGAAACAGAAGAGGAGCTCGGTGTGGAGTAGCACTGGCTGACTCGCTGGCTTTGCACAGGGATGACGCGCTGCTTTGGATCTGCAAGTGAGGCTGAAGGACCTGCACGTGCAGAGCACTGCTGGAAGGGAAGCTGAGGCTGGGTGAGGAGAAAGCACTGCACAACAGAGAGGTCATTAATGAACAGCTTAAAAAAAGTACTTAGAAGCCTCACTAGGCCCTCAGTAAAGAAAAAAATGTTCAGACTCCTCCATGAGTAAATTTCAGCCCCAGACATGTCCAATTGTATGGGTATTTCTTACAGGTATTCCACAAAAAGCATCTGTGTCAGCTCCCGTGGCAGCTTCAATAATCCAAACAGCTGCATGGTTAGGAGCCCAGAAGTATCGAATTCCTGTCCTGTTCCCTGGCATTTGACAATTGAAAAGCTTTTAGCTTAGTTTATTTCAGAGCAAACGTTTCTCTTTGTCCCCCCAAACACGTTACTTCTTGGATCTGAAGGGCCAGAAATACTGCAGAGCAGAAGGCTGTAATCACAGCACCAGGAGAAGAGGAGCCAGCCCCAGGCATCCCTCTGAACGCAGCATCAGTGTGATAGACTTTCTGCCTGCCAGGTGAAGTACTCGATTCCTCACCTTACAGAATCAAGACTTAAATTTTGAAGGATGCAAGTCTGATGCCCAACTATGGCAAGGGACAGTTTTTGCTACAGCATGTGGAGTCCAGTCTTCCTGAAACTGGTAAAGGAGCATCTCTGGTACTAGCAACCAGAACTGCTGAGGAGCCTCTGGTTTGCTGCGTTAGAATCTAAGATGTAGAATGGAAAAAAAATACTTTCCTACCTAGATTTCCTCTACTAACCTTTATACTTGAGGTTCTCCAAAAGTAGAGGGTTTTCTAAATTATAAAGGAATAAGCTGCTTGTATTGATGATTGTGCATATAGTAAATTACTTTGAATACAACAAAAGCTTATGTAATGTGAGCCTTAAACACTTTAAGACATGCTCTGACCTCACCAAATCATCTCCTAGTGGAAGCAACAGCACTCCATTGTCTTACAGGAGCTAAACACATTTCCTCAACTAAGAATCTATTCCACTGACTTTCAGGTTCTACGTCAAGAAACACTTTGTATGCATTTGCTTCTCTGTAATGTGACTTGTATTTTCGTGGCTATTGAGAAGCAGAGAGAATAGGGTCTTTTGAACACCTTTTTCACATGTTCACATGCTGCCTTTAATCACGTTTGCAGGAAGACATCAGCCTTTCAAGTACAGCTCTAAGGATGTCAGTGGTGCCATGAGATCAGGTCTCTGCACTGCCAAAGGCCACATGACTGTCTTAGCCTGTCACAATACTTGATCAGGAAATTATTTTTATTATGGAAACTACTTTCTTTGGCTTTTCTGCTTTAGGCTCTTCAGACATACCAGACCAATCCTGCCATGAGAAAGATGCTAACTCAGCTGTATTTCTATATCATGCCTGTATTTAATGTGGATGGATATCATTTTAGCTGGACAAATGTAAGTAGTATCAGTAGTATGACTCAAAAAATCATTCAGACAGGAAAGATCGAATGGTTGTTACATCATTCAAAGGTGACTTTCTGTATAATCTTGTCCATCACTTGGTGACATGCAAAATGGAAGTAAATTACTCCAGTTAAAATATAATACTGAATATGTTTATTAGGGTTGGTTTGTTATCTGTACAAATAGATTTTTGCCAAAATATAGTGATATTGCTATTTAACTATTTTATAACTTCTGTTAGGATCGATTTTGGAGAAAAACAAGATCAAAGAACACAAGGTTTCGGTGTCATGGTGTTGATGCTAATCGCAACTGGAAAGTGAAATGGTGTGGTAAGTCTGGAGATACTTTGGTCCACCAGTTCAGATTACCCTGTATTTATTTAATTATCCAACAGAGTAAGTAGGTTAGGTCACATCCGTTGTGAAGCGTTCTCTTTTCCATAGTCAAAGTTGAAGCTACTTTCCCATAAAGCCACAAGCCAGGGCTCAAATCTTCCTTCTAGTTTCTAAAAAAATAAGAGTCCTGAACTTTGGAAAAACACATCTCATCACAAGTAAAAAGTTTTCATGGCGAGTGTGGCAAAAGTAAAAAACTACACATACAGCTATTCTGTATTTCTGCAATCATGTAAATAATTTGAAGCACAGCATTGAGCCTGGCCCATCACATTTCAGAATTTACCTGACTACAGCTTTAGGAAACATTTCAAACTTCATTTTATTTAATTCATCATTTCTCTGAAATGGCTTTAGCTTTGGAAATGTCAGACTTGCTTTGTTGGCCTCACAGAGGAATGTCTGAGAATATTTTAAGGCCATTATTATTAGTGATTTAATGAAGAAAGAAGGTGCTTCTAAATGCATGGAGATCCAATTTTAAACTCCCAGCACTTCTGTAAATACTTTCATAAAAATTGACCTCAATTTTGCGTAGAGAATGCAGCAGTAATGAAATACTAGCAGAAGATTTGGAATGGGTCCACTGAAGAAGAAATGGTATTTTATCAAATCTTACAGCAAGACAGAGCAACTCATATAGGAGTAAGCAGCCATACAAGTTCTGGTGCAGCAGAAAGTAATAGCACTTTGTTGTGAAATTTGGCAATATGTATCTGGTTCTTCTGCTGACCTGCTCTTGAGCAACTTCCTTCACCTCTCTGTGCAGCTGTTTTCTCCTCCAGCATTCGTCCACCTTCCTTATTTACATTACAAACTTGTAAAGACAGAAATTGTATTTGCATAGTGCTAGCGCAACGGCCCTCCCTTCAGCCCATCCCTTTTCCACTGGAAGTCTCTAGATGTTTCCACAATAGTCCAATTACCTGCAGTAGGAGTGAGCATTGTACAGTCTGGCTTGCAGCGATTGGATTCTTTAAGTAGATTTTCGAGAACTGTAAGGATAAAAATGAGTGTGAATAATCTCCCTGGGGAGATTACAAATGAGGTGAGAGTGAACAGAAGCATACATTCAATACAGTATGGACCTGTGAAATATGCTTCCAGTTTTTTTCAACTCTACTTGCAGTAAGGAGAGGACAGACACAGAAGCAGTTACAGAAAGCCTATGTTAGCTGAGAATCCCTCCACTACAGAAGACAGTCCCAGGGCTGCTATCAATTTTATGCTGCAAAAATAATGTAAAAATGAACCAATCACTGTTACCATATTTTACTTAAGTGTGTAAGTCACAACTGGAGGTATCTTGGGGACATACATTTACTGTTCAGAAGATAGCCACCGGCGTAGCTGAAATGAACAGTTCTCTTACAAAGTCTTCAGAGCCTATTTAGGTACCTATGAGTGCAACATTAATACTCACCCACTGCATTTTCTTTCTAGTCCTAATTAATCTTTTTTGGGTTCAAATCACCCTGCTCCTCCCTCTTCTTGTTCCCTAGCCACTGTATTAAAGCACACTTTTTACTCAGTCCTGAAAACGTTTGCTTAGTTTTCAGGAAAAAACATTTTTTGTAGGCTGAGTGAAACTATAACAATACACACACGGGTTGTGTGCTGTAATCCACTACTTGCTGCATTTCTCCCCTGCACTGAACATGAAAGACAGGTCCCCACCCTGAGTTTAAAAAATAAAAATTCCTTCAGGGTTGCTCATCATCCCACCAAGCACATGCTCTGCTTCCCTCACCGGACCCCGAACTCTGTCTGATTCTCTATTTTGCCAGAGAATAAAGAGCTCTTTCATGAATTGGGCTGACTGGTGCTCAGAAGATCCTTACCCGGCGCCCTAGGTTCTCATTAATCTGACACTAAATGAGGCAGAGAAGAATCTAGATCATATCACACTTTGAGGCTTGTATAATCATGGCGTGTTTAACATTTAATACTACATGTGCTTGTAAAAACCTTTTAATTCAGTTCAGTCGCACTTACAGTTTGCACACAGGCTTGAACTTCACTGTGGGGCTTCCCGGCAGGTGTGTTGTGGCAGAATCCGGCCCCAGCAAAGCCGCTGAATGCTAGCTGCAGTGATCTAGTTGGTAAAGATAACACAGCAACCCTTCAGCTTTCCTCTTCCCTCCTAGTGTAGGACTTTGATGTAAGCTTTATGATGTTGTTTCTATATTCTCTAGGGACTGAGAAAAAGGCCGTATCACTGATTGTGGTAGACTTCACTTTGCAGCGCCTTGTACCAAAATAGAAATTGCACACAGACCCAGGTGAATACTGACAGCAAGATCTCTGGGTAGAAATGCTGCTTGCAATATATATATATATGTGCAATAACTAGCACGATGAAATAAATAGCAACTTTAAAGACAATAATGAGGTACTCAGAACTAAATTATGTCATAGGGCAAATCCAGTTAAAGGTGTTGCATCCAAAGGCCCCAAGAGAGCAGCAGTGGGAGTTAAAATTCCCAGCGCATCACAATTTCCAGTGCACCCGTTGCTCTCTGAGGACAGTACCCCATACTGGCAGAAGAAGTGGCTGCAAGGAAGTTTGAGAATCATGCTCCAGCTCATCCATCCTCCCAGCCTTCCTGCTGTACCAAAGCATTGGTTTTATCAGTCTCTGCACACATTTCCTTCGTACATTTGATCTCATGATGGATGTTGGAGGAGATTTGTCCTCCGCCAGTATGCTATCAGGTACAAAAATGAGGCAGCATGGTAACATTTTATGCAATTCCATTTTCTTCTCATGACTCTAACTCAGAAATTTCACAGGAGTTGATACATACTGTATCATTTTTCCCCTTCTTGTGTTACTTTAAAAGAACTTCCAGTATGTAAATTGAGGATATCCTTACATTATCCAAGGCCACCATGGAAACCCTCTCTTTTTACTGTCAGCCAGCTTCACTTAAGGAAAAGCGTTAACTACAGCTGGGATTGCAAATGGCTCACAATAGTAGTCTGGACAGGTTAGAGTGTTTTTTCTTCACTGAAAGTCACTAAACTGAATCATATCTTACCGTTGGCTCATTTTACCATTAGCTTGTAGGATTCTGCTTTTTATTAACATTTTCATGATTCAGTATGCAACACTATTACAGAAGATGAAGTATCCATAAAAAAAAGCAAAGGCTCCAGAAGCTCTGTTAAATAGCTCTCCTTTAGCTATATTATCTGAGAAGACATCGAGGCAGAGTGCTCTTGGGATTTGGATGACTTGGTGGCCATCTGTTTTGCAGGGAGGAGACCATCTGCCCTCTATATAACCCTTCCATATCCACTGTAATCTAAGCACTAACACCTTTTGAAATCCCCACCTGTGGCCATTGAATGGTAGCCTCAACTTTCATATTACAAATGAAGCTGCAGCATGGAATTCTTCCACTTTTTAATTTTTTTGGCATTAGGTTGATTGCATAACCCTGTTTTAGTTCATATTATTATGCCTTCTCACACACTGCTCTTTTCTTATTATTTGAAGGTGGCAGTACTTACTATACAAAGGAAAGCTAATAAAACACTGCTTTTGTAAGTCCCTGATGACACCAGGGAATGTCGCAAACAAACAATTATTATTCTGCAGGTCAGTGTAAAACATGTGGCGTTTTCAAATCACGGTGGATAAAAGAGCGGAGTGGATTTGCATAAATATTGTTCTTTTAGGCCCCGGCCCTAAGCTGTAAATGAGACGGTGGCTTAGATCCAGAATTGCTAAATGATAAAAGAGCCACTGCCACATCTCCTTTTCTGAGTTTCATCTTTCAGTACCTCATGGGATATTACAGGCAGGCTACGCTTCTGCAGCTTACTGCCACCTGAGCAGGTTGACATGGTGAAAGATATCCTCACAACTGAACCCCTGCCCCAAACCTGAAGGAAAATTAAGCCCTGTGCAAACTGAGATGATCTCTGTTTTAGCTAACTGAGCAATCATCTCATGTGGGTTGTCATTTTTTTCCCATAAGGTTTGCAAGGGTAAAAATAGGCAGTAGTCAGGAACTATTCTCATGTTTTAAACCAGTCTCTAAGAGAATGCCTGTTGAGGTTATCTACCTACCATTGTAACCACCACTGCAGTAGCTAGTATGTTAAAATGCTCTTAAAGGCTAGACCTGTCTTGGCAGTGACTAGTGAAAGAGGTATAGCGCTCTGATTTCAAATAGACCAACTGAGACCCTTCAACAGTTTTAATACTGGAATGCTATCATAAAATGTGCCGCTCGTGTGGAAAGCCATGGAAGAAAATACAAGGAAGTCAGGCTCTCCTTTTTCTGTTGGGTTAAAAGTATGTCTTCTGGGGAGAACTGCGTTTGGTTGGCCAATTGGCAACTTGGCGTGTCTACTAGATGAACAAGCAGATTGCTGTGCTGAGGTCCCACTGGCTCATGCCCGTCAGTCACGAGAAAGCAATTTGTTTATTGCTTTTCAAACTTTTGCATGTGGGCCCACACAGGCTGAGCCAGAAGTTAACCCTTGGAAATTCTCTGTGACCATTCACCATCAACTTTCTCATTCAATCTCTAGATGAAGGTGCTTCATTTCACCCATGCGATGACACCTACTGTGGTCCCTTTCCTGAGTCTGAGCCTGAAGTAAAGGCTGTTGCTCATTTTCTCCGCAAACATCGGAAACAAATAAAAGCCTATTTGTCCTTCCACGCGTATGCACAGATGCTGCTGTACCCTTACTCTTACAAATATGCAACTATTCCAAACTTCAGCTGCGTGGTAAGTACATTAAAACTCAGGAGAATATGCTTCCCTATATAATATTTTTTGGTACATTTTGTTTTGAGAGGGGACTTGTTTCTTCAATACTTTGCACATATCTAATACTGAACGGTATTTATTCTGGATCCGCTTGCAATTGTATTTCTGGTTATATAACCTTCACTCAAAGTGAGTCAGTGTAATTTGATTAAAATGGTATAGTGCCTTCCATCCATCAGTCCCTTTAAATTACTTTATAGGATAAATCCCTGGGTTTTAATTATAGTTGTTATTATTATCATTTTATTTAATTAACTGTAATGGGAATTATGTACTTAAGTCCTTGGGCATCTAGCTGAAATTCTGTCCCTTCATGCTCAGAACTTAAACACTAGGAGCACGAAGATAATCTTCAATGTTATGAACAAAACAAAATTGAAATGGTTTATGTTTATCAATTAGAGGAGAAATCTCATAGGTTTCACCAAAAGTAAAGCTTTGATTGCTTTATGTATCATCCTGCTCAGACATAGTGGTTTTAACCCTTTAAGACAAGCAGTTAATTAATATCAGGGACTTTTGTCTATTAGAAGAATAAACTAGTAAGTTTACTTTTTTTGGTGCAAGCTGATCGATTTACAGATATGTACATTTCACGTATTCCATGCTCATCCAAACGCAGAAGAACTATTCCCTCTGCTTGCAGTCTGAGATCTGTTTTTAGCCAGCCTCCTGTACATAAAACCGTCCCTATGGCTTATTCTCTTAGGGAAGCACAGCTAAGCTATACTTTCTGGTTTGCTCCTGCTCACAGACACACATTGCACCAACCAGTTGCAAGCCTCTTTCTTTCACCCTCAGTCCCCAGTAAAATTACATTGTCCATATTTCTCCCATTTTGGTCTTGAAAGTTGCAGTGACTTTTAACGTGCTAGTTAAAGCTAGTTTACTCCAAAGGAGCTTAACTGTACCTTAGATTTATCCTGTGCAGAACAAATGTTGTCAGTCCCTGGAGCTTCGCTGAAGTTCCACTCAGCTGCCCTCTCAAGAGGCTAGGCAGCCAGCACTCCACAAACTAAACTTTCTTTGTGTGTTTATTTCTGTTAAGACACTTAATTTCAGCAGTTACTAAAAATTCTCCTGTCTGATGTCATTCCTGGGAAATAGAGCAAATTAAAAGTTAACTAAGCAGCGAGAGGAGCTAAAAATATGGGACTTGTGGGGACTGACCACCCAGCCCTGCATTGACTGTGAATAAATCCATGAATCTTCTTTTTAGTTTACCTTCTCCACCCTCTTTTGGGGAGTGGCAAAGACAAAGGAGCTCCCCAAGTGAATTGGTGACTATTACTTACCAAAAAACATAGACTGGGAATTTAAAACCATAGGATCTCATTCCTTTGAAGACCAGCAGGTGCAAGAATATTTTTTTAAGAACAGACAACACAGCAGAAGGTAAACACATGGTGTTAGGAAGAATCAGCATCTCCTCTGCAAGTAGGTGATTATTGGGTATTTGATGAAAATATCCAGAGTAACGTAAGGCAATAGCAGACACAGCATCAGGAAATTCATTGTAAGGAAAAGGAGTCACTAACTGAGAGTTTTCACACATACCAGTAAATTTTCAGTACATGTTGTTCTTGTTGCTCAACAGCTATTTCCGTTCTGAGACAGGGAGTAACCGCCCCTCAGCAAACACACTCTATCTTTCCATCCACAGCTTTCAGACCAAAGGAACCCAGTTTTTGATGTGTAGTTAGGTGTTCCCCAGGTTTGTGAGATGTTGGATCGGGCTTCTCGTTAGAGGGAGTGGAGCACAGACCTAAAGGGTCTGTGCAGACACTGTTTCAGACAACAGCCCTGGACAAATGGAAGCCAAATCCCAGTTCTAAATATTTTGCCAGTGTTTGGACTCTATACTTCTTTTTATTGCAGTGGGTCAAAAAGATCAGGGAGGTTGGAATAAGAAACTGAAGTAATTTCCTGTTATTTAGAAAGCTCATTATGGGGATCATAGTGAAAATAAATGGAATACTGTTGCTTATTTATTTCTGTTTTTTAATACCTGCCTACAGCCAAAGGCTCCATCACCTGGTGGCTCCTAAATGAATAGTCTTTAATATTTGAGGTGTCTAAAATGGTGACTTAGGCTGAGGTTTCAGATTCTCCAGTTCTCTTGGAAATTACAGTCAGCTAGAATGCGGCAGATCTCTTGTTTCCTGCTGCTGATGGAACAAGCTTCGTTGGTCTACATGGACTGTGTACAGTGGACAACTGTAGGACTCTACACGCATAGCAGATAAATAACATTTGGTCCTAACAGGGGGCCACAATTAATCGTGAGCAGAAGAAAGGATGTTTCTGTCTGGGTCGTATCATTCTAGTGAGCTGTCAGTTACCATCTCAATTAAAGTCCTCAATTATTCAGAGTTGCTTTGAAACTGGAGAGCTGTGTACTGATCACAACATGCATATTCTGTTCTAATTTAGGCACAACTCTCTTATTAACACTCTCCTGAAATCTGTTCTTTTAAGATACTTAAAATGAAAGTGCAGTTTTAGATTGAAAAAAACAGCAGAAACATTCATCCATCTCGAGAGTTTTAAATTTCACCTACTTTTCATCCCTTTTCTTCCTCTACAGTTGTTTGCCATAGTGTTTGCAGTGAACTTACATGGCATGAGTGAGTTTGTGTATATCTTTGTGAAAATCTGGTAATTTTATGTGAAGCTTTCTCCTTGAGGGTGTTCAAAGACTGGTTGTCCGGATTTATTCAGGATCCAACCTGCACAGTATGATGCAGTTGAGAACTGTCCCCTTCAGTGGAAGCAAGCAGCACCCCTCAAGGCTAAGAGCATCAAGTTCACGGTGCCCAGGGATACCTGCCTACGTGGTGGACGTGGATTTGGGTCACTCCCGGTCTGGCCTCCAGATGGTTGCTGCCTCTGCACAGAACCCAGTCCTGTTGTGCTGGTTTTAAATGGGCATTGCCAAACTATTTCTTCAGAAAGATTTCAACAGGGCTTGCTTCTGTTGTCTCACTGCTGTACAATGCGTAACTCATGCACAGGGAGTCTTCTCCTTTGTGGCTGTGTTCTCCGTCCCATGGCGCGTTCACCAGGACATTGCTCTCCACCCATCTCAGCTCCCTCAGTTGAGCCCTGCCTCCCACTGCCTTGGCATCAGGCCTGTTGTCGGGCCGTCCCAGCTCCACACCACGGCCCTGAGATGGTAAGCACAGCTGCTTGCCAAATTTCTGTTGAGCAACAGAGCCTGGTGCTTGGGGCTTCAATGCAGGCACCAAACAACAGCCCCAGGATTAAGCCAGAATCCCGATTCCTGACAATGGCAAACAAGTGGAAGGTTAGGGAAAACATATAAACAGAAAGGCAAGTATAGAGTAATCCTTCCCCAGTGCATTCATCTAGTGTCTGATGAATAACAAGGTAAGAACCAGATTCATGAAGACTTGCATAAACTGAAACCTACAGCTCTTCAGTTCACAGAAAGAAAACAACTAAAACAACCATTACAGCCTTATCCAGTGGTTCAACATCCAGCAGTTTCTAGCTCCAAAGATGTTCATTTCCTGCTCTCTATAGGGAGGTGGCTCTGTGTTTTCCTAGATATTCCTGGCCTTCACTGTACATTCTCTAGAATCCTTTTCTTTGGGATCATAATATTTCTTTTTCTTTTGAGTATGTGTGTCCCTTCTCTGTGTTCGGATGCACTATCCAAGTGTGATCCTCAGAATTTGCCATGGGCCAGGCCTTCTGTAGGATGCCATGAACCTCCTAAACAGACTGCATCCATATGGATGTTGAAATGTAGGTGCAGATTTTCCCCATACAGTACTGAAATCACATTTCTGCAGCAGTGGAAAGAGTTCTCCAAGCCTACATCATCTGGCGCCAGAAAAAAGTTAGACCAGCAGTGAACATTCACCTGTCCATCAGAGATTCAGGAGTGGAATTTGCCTCCTTCCTTCTTCCCACTCTGCTCACTGAACCACTGTGGATCATTTCTCCTTCACAAGCCCAGCAGAGATGAGGTTTAGTGGACTGGGAAATGCATCCACAGGTACTGGCAGAAAATGGATGCATGGCTTTTATACTGCATGAAAAGATTATTTCATCTCACGGTCTCACATGTGGCCTAAATTTGTTGTGTCACTAAATTGGTATATATATGTATAATTACAAATACTTAATGGCTGATCATTCACAGTGCAGTGAGCTGCTTTATGCCATGAAAATACTGAACCAAGTTTTTCGTGGAATTAGGGAATTGCTGTCAATAAAAATAAATAATGCATCTATCCTTTAAAATAATTTTAAATAGCTGCCACGGACTCACAGAACACAGCATTGCGCCGGAAGTCAATGATCCATAGCTCAGGTTCCAATCCCATTACAGTATTTAATTCAAAGTCTAATTGATGTGTTTGTTTTTCTCCCACACACAGGAATCAGCAGCCTATAATGCTGTTAACGCTCTTCAGTCAGCCTATGGTATAAGATACAGATATGGTCCTGCATCTAGCACTTTGTGTAAGTTTTCCTCTGGCACAGGTTTGTGACTTTGACCTACCTATAGTAAGAAGGAGATTACCCTTATTGTAACAACGAAAGCAAACACCGTTTAAAGTGAACTTTGTTCCAGTTGTGGATGGTGAGGAAGGCGGAAGATGAAGTTTTGTAACTGATTCAGTCAGTTGATTGGAGTAAGATTAACTCAGTTGATGCAATAAAAGAGATTAAAATGCAATGCATTTGAGAGGCAAAAGCCAGAAAATAACATGTTCAGAACATATAAAAACAGATTTTTTAAAAAAGAAAGATAAAACGAGATCTTAAAAAGTACATCTTTAAATGTAAATGCACTAAGTTATAAAATATTTGGGAGGAAATAATTCAAAGTAAGTTTCATTTTTCACCATTACTTTGCCTCTCCTGTGCAATTGTGATAGATATACAGTTATTCATAGAGCTCATTCTAAAATTTAGGGTCATGTCTTTAAAAGCTAGGTTTCAAATGTCTCTGTGTCTAGCTGATGATAAATGATAGCAACAGTATCTTTATTTGGACATCGTCCATTTTTCAGAGAGTGATTTCAAATGCATTTTTCCCTATAACAAAACATCTTTAAAATATGCCTTTTAAATATGTAACAACATTTGTCAGGCAAGCTCTCCACGTAGACAGGTAAGAGAAAAAGAAGTTCAATAGGTTTCAACGAGACGCTTTTTTTTTTACTAAAACTATGAGGCCTGAACGCTCTCGGTAATGATAACAGGCCCACTTTATTGTGGGCCTCCATCTCCCAGCACGGTCATCATCTTGTGCTCATTACAGTGCAGTCAGTCGCTATGTCAAAGGAAGAGCAGTGTGAATTAATGCCAGAATTGCACAGAAGACAGCAGGCCACATGAGAGATGGATCTTTATATAAATACAAGTGTCTTGGGTAATCAACATATGGAGATAACGAAAGCATAAGAAGCACACTTCCTCGGGAAGGTTTGTTAATATTAGACACCACCTATGCAAATGCTCTCACGCTGTAAGGAAATGGTGAGAAAACAAGACAGAAATTAAGAGAAAGGAATTTTAAAAGCACTTTGAAAAGGAGACTGTAGATTACTTTATCAACTTCCCCCCTTCTCCCTGCGAAGGGATTGCCTAAAAAACCCAAGTTAAACCTAGGAGCATGCAGAGCTCCTGTCCAGCCGGGAGATCTTTGTGGAAGCAAAGCTTTAGACTGCACTCACCTGGGGACAAGAACAGTTTGAGGCTTTATTCTAAATGTTCTCTTTTATTAAAGTTTTGCTTTACACAAAAAAGTCAGTTATCAATTTTTTTCCTGTGAAAATCAAGAGTCTAACCCATATTGTGGTGCTGGGTGCCCACGAGTGTTCTCTGAAGGGTGTTCAGGATCAGGGCAAGCAACAGCTGGAGTTGCAAGTGTATTCACTGAGCCCTGGAGACAAAATGCCGTAAGAACCCTCTGGTGCTTTCAACATGACCTGCATTTAAGATTTTTTAAAATTTTCTCTGAATTCCCTCTTTCAGATGTGAGTTCTGGTAGCTCTATGGACTGGGCCTACAAAAACGGCATCCCCTACGCGTTTGCGTTTGAGCTGCGTGACACTGGCCATTTTGGATTTTTACTTCCCGAGACGTTGATCAAACCAACCTGCACAGAGACCATGCTTGCAGTTAAAAATATAACTCTTCATCTGCTGAAGAAATGTCATTGAGAGCTATTTCTAGGAGCTGGAAGTGAGCATTCTACTCCCAGTGCTGCTGCCGCCTTTCAGTGTGTTCAGTTGCCATTCTAAGCTTGGCCACTTCAAAATTACAGAAGCTAATGGGAAATACGGTATTGTTTCTACCAGATTGACTTGGTGGGAAAGGAAAAAATCATTTAATATCTGCTCTACAACAATACCATAAAGTTGATATACTAAGTTACCAGTTTGGTGTAAAATAGTCTGTTCTTTTTGCAATAAAGCTTTGATTCTGCAACTTCAGTGGGGCAGGTCCAGGTCCACATACAGGTGCCTGAAATAAAACTCCACTTCCAGACAGTCCCTGGCCTTACTCCTTTCCCTAACAGGAAGACTTCCCTTAGCAGGGTCTCTCAAACCAAGGGATAAAGTTTACATTCATGTATATGTACTCTGTGACCCAACACAGGCCTGTGTCTATAGCAGTAAATGGCATATAGTTGCAGCTGGCCGCGCTGCAAGTGGCAATGTGGCTTCCTTCTGCATGTATATATACATATATACATGCACTTTTGTGATTTTTTTTTCATGTAATGCAAAAATTTGACCCAAGGTTTCCTTTAACTGTTCAGAGAAACCTATTTTCAAATGTATATATTGGGGTGAACTCAAAATCAACATATTGCCTTTGAAAATGTAACTTTCCTAGAGATGTGTAAGAATTATAATGAAATATTTTTGAGATACACAATACTCTGCTTTATGGAGAGACAAAGCAACTTGCCATGACTTGGAACTCGGAAGCCAGCAGTCGACTGGTCCATCTGGCTTCTGCTGTAGTCAGTGTCTGCCCATTTCCACCAGCCAAAGATCTAGCCTTAAACTGTAATTAACTGATGTTAACCGATGTTTTATTTATCGGTATTCCTGCAGTGAGTTCTGTAGCTCTATGGCTATGTGGCTGTTCTTCTTGGAAGTTGTATTTTTTGCATGTTTTAAAGGAATTAATAATAGGTTCTTAAGTGAGCTGGAGGTGAAAGCAGAAGCCTTACAGCTGAAATACAGTGAATAAACACCATGTTTGAAAGAGTAATAATGAAAGCACAGAGAATATAACAACTTGTTGAGGGTTTTTTGGTACTTTTAAAATACTATTTTTTTTGATCTTATTATATCTGCAAAAGCATATATTTTACTTTATTGAGTTTAATCTTATGCCATAACATGTTAAATAAAACATACTTGTTAATAACATCATCAAAGACTTTTGAAGTATTCTTCATATTTCATTTAATTGTTAAACTTTAGTTCAAGGTTGTGACAATTTTCCCTATCTGTAAAACATTACTGACACCAAGGATGTGATATTTTAAAAAACCTACATCCTCTTTAAATAAGTACTTGAACTTAGCAAGTGGGCAACCTTTATGAGACTAGGGAGCGCTGTATTTAATTAAGAATACCATTGTTTTCAGGACTGCAAAAGGCAATCAGTGAGCAAAGATGACAGAATTGCATTCTACTTGTTTAACATTTTGTTAATAAAAAGTATTTATTTTAAACAAGCTTTCTGAAAGCTTGTTCAGATTGGATTAGTTCAGACTTGCTTGAGTAGTGCAAGTTTCTATTCTGGTTTAATAAAAATCTAGGGGACAGAAGTTCTCAAAATATCTATCCACTAGTCATTTCCAATTGCTTATGACCATAATCATTAAATATTTTGAAGACAGCAATAACTGTCATTTGCTATGCACAGATTCTTGACCAACGGTCTTGATAGTGTTGTAAATTAAATATTAGCACCAATTGTTGGGAGTTATTCTGGATTTAGGTGACAAGATTGAACTACTACAAGGACATAAGACACTGAAGTGAGGGACAGAAGGCATGAGAGATGCCTAATCAGCATGAGGCAAATTTACCTCTGGATTACTACAGTACAAACCTTTCCAAGTATAGGCTGGGAGGAACCAGATTCAGATGTGATGGTTTGATTCCTGCTCATAGTCCAACAGTTACATGAAACATTTCAGCTTTATCTTCACATCATCACATTTCCACTGGTACTGAAAAGTAATTGAACTCTTGGAGCAAGAAAGGAAAAAAAAAACACAAAACCCCTCTGTTAGTCACCAAAAGGATCTAACATTGTAGATCTAGTTGACTTTCTTTGACAGGAATAATTGCAAGTATTCTTACATTTTATCTGAGAAGCTTTGACCTTTCGAAGTACTTAATATCAAAACCAGTCCATGAATAAAGCTACATCCCGGTATCTGGATGGACTCAGCCTGAATACTATGTATTAGGTGCAACTGAAAACTCTGAGCTGAGTTTTGAAGACCTGTGCAGGGTAATTTAGTGCCCCATAGCTGAATACAAGTGTAAACAGTCTCTGGGCCCTTTAATTTCAGGGTCACTAAAGCTGATCAGAAAGGCAGTCACTAGAAAAGCACAAACCCTATTTCCTGTATTAGGAATTTGTAAGACAATTTGTCAGCAAGAGTGATTCTAAATAGAGTAGTTTAAGTAAAGAACTACTGGAAATCAGCTATTTGGATATGGAATGACAGGCTTTGTGACTTACAAACGTTACTTCCCCGAACAGCTCTTTTTTATCTCCATAATTGCTTACTTCTCTTCCCTTTGTCCTTCTCGTCAGCAGTCTTTACTGCCGACAGGATAACAGAATTGATAACTGGTCTTGAGAAAAGCAAATTTATTTTATGATTGTAGGTATAGTTTATCATTCAACACAATAAAAAGTACGTGAATAGCAAAACACTGGTTATTAACCCAGCAGTCAAAATCACATATATAATGATTATGTGAAATCCAGGAGTTATACTGCCATCGATTATTGATAGAATAATTATAACCACTTCTGTAACTTGGAAAAAGTGCTCAGACAAGCTTTTGTGAACATCTGTTCTTTTTTTTTGCTAGCTTTTATTTTTTATAAACAAAACCCTGAGATTAATTAACATGAAGGAAACAGGCCTATGCCTCTTCAAGTCACCCTCCTCGACAACAAAACAATTATCCCAAATTACCTTGAATCATTATTCATAAATTGATAAAAAATTGGCCTTTAGAGTTAAAAAAGGTATTGGGTTTGGTTGCAAACCTTGAAGAAAGAGCACAGCTGATGGGTGAAGCTCCCCATGTGTTTTTCAGAAGTTGCTTCAAAAAGGCCAATGTATTTGGTCACTCACGTAACATGTAAAGCCTATGGAAAACTGCAATTCTTTTTTGAAATTTCTGAAATTTGAATAGAAAGAGTCCAAATGACCTTGAATGCCAACATGCATTTACTTTGAAAAATCTAGTGCCAGTCCGCTTGTCTGTCGCAAACTGCAGTGTGCAGATTGCGCTGCCTGCTCGAGGACTGCGTAAAATAACTGTTTATTGAAAAGACTGCATCTAATTCTTAAGGTTGGGAAGAAAGCATTGTATTTCCTACCAAAAATAAGTCACTACTCAGCCATTCTAGTTTATTCACGTGAAACAATCCCTTCCCTTTTTATGTTTACATTCAATTTAATGGTACCACTCAAAGAATAAGATATTCGGTAGCATGGGTAGAGTAATAAGTATTTTTGTAAGAAAGCCCTTTGACCTTTCCTTTGGCTGTGCAAAACTACTGTATCATTTCCATAGTTCACTGTTATATAGCAGTCACATTCATTGTTTAAAAATGTTAGTCTCACACATTATGACTTCATGGTTTTGACTTCTGTGTCTAAAAGCCAAATGTTACCATTTTCATGCAGTTCTCAAGTGATGGTAAAACACCAGAATCATATCTCAGGTACATAGAGATACAACTACCCCTCTGCTGTAGAAAACAGGACAAGAGAACAGAAATTCAAATAAATTACAGAGACACTTTTTAAATATAAACCCCGTGACATTAGCTATATTTCCTTCAAAACATTTTAAATGCTCACCACACAAAATACCTTCTCTGAGTTGTAAATTTGAAAGTCTTCTGTCCTTGGAAAACGTAGGCCATTTGGCATGCTTAATGTATGCCCGATTCTCATACTCATTCGGGATAAAAAATTAAGGTCCGAACAGCTGTAATTGCTTCCTCCTTCACTGTGTAGGAGGAAAGCTGGGTGCGGAGAGAGCTGCCTTCTGGCTGACGGCATCGATAGGCTTTCAAGTGCTATCAGCACCCTGAAGTCAGGAGTACTGATGCTGTGGGCGGGTCTGTCTTGGAGGAAGGTGAACAACACCAGAGTGGTTCAGCCACTGTCCTCGGCTGAACGTGCCTGTCGCCCTAAGCGCGATGCACTGGTTGAGCAGCTCGTCAGAAATTCACAGCCTCGGGCTGCATGTGGTGTCAAAAGGGCCTGCCTTAACAACAAGGTCTTCTGTTAGTATCTGCAAATTTGGCATAACTAGAGTCCCTCCAGAGCAGTGAGCTAACACATGGTTCTCCTTAGCAAATGATGTTTGGGGCAAGACATTTAGAATAGGCAAATCTTTAGCCCCTGAATGCTTGTCCTTGCCTGACAAGCAGGAGCAGTCAAGCAGAAAGTCTCAGCTCTCTCTGCTTGCAGATCCTTCCGAGCCCTCTCCTGAGAGACCGAGTCAAGCATGGCAGGGCTTGCCCTTGGATTTAGACATCAGGGAATGCACTCATAAATAATAGATTCCAATGTTAATTAAAAAAATATGCCACTGTCCCTAGCCATGCAGAAAGCACACTTTGCCTGTGACAAAGAAAATCCATCTATTGCCATAAAGACATGGAGTAATATATTTCATTTGTCCTGCTGGCTCTTAGAGGCCAGCCACCTTAGCACTGCTCAGCATTATTGAAAAAGACATGCGGCAGAATAGCCATAACAATGAAATATTTTAATCTATCCCTACGTCTGTAGGAGCATATACTTTATCTCAAATAATAGATAGCTGCTTCTGAAATAAATATTGTGGTACGACTGCGAGCAGATGTTTTAGTCTTTCGTGCTGACTACTATGTGCCAGGCTATTCCTCTGCATAACCAGGATGGCTCGATGCTGGGAGGGCTGTCTCTTTTTTTAACCAAATAATAAACCCTTTTTTTTTACCAATTCTGAGCATAATATCAAGTTATGTCTGAAGATATATAGACACAAAAGAGAAAGCTTCATTTTACAACAGAATTTTCAATTTTCTTGAAAATAATGCATCTGTTAAAATC